GGATCCACGTCTTTGGGCCGAGCGGGGCCTGCCTGCAGCGGTTCGGGGAGCGGGGGGACGCGAGCAACGATATCAAGTACCCGCTTGATGTGACGGTCACCTGGGACGGGCACGTGGTGGTCACCGATGGCGGGGACCGCTCCGTGAAGGCCTTTGATTTTGAGGGAAAGGGGGTCCTGGCTGTCCGGGAAGGTTTCTGCTTACCATGGGGCTTGGATGCCACCCCAGAGAGCGAAGTGATCCTGACCGATGCGGAGGCAGGTGCTCTCTACCGCTTGACGGCCGACTTCAAGAGGGGGAAATTAAAGAAGTGTCAGATGATCCGGTCTCAGCTCGTCAGCCCAAGAGGGGTTGCGGTCTCCCAGACCTCGGGTGCTGTCGTGGTAATAGAGCACCTTAAAGCCCAAGGACTGAACAACGGGAGCACCCGGGTGAAGATATTCAGTGCAGAGATGGATCTCATCAGCCAGATGGATAGCTTCGGTCTGAACCTTGTTTTCCCCTCCAAAATACGTACCACGGCTGTGGCCTTTGACAAAGAGGGTCGTGTTATAGTAACAGATGTTTGTAGCCAGGCTGTAATATGCTTAGGGAAACCAGAGGAGTTTCCCATCTTTAACCCGCTAATTAGCCACGGGCTTTCTTATCCCTCAGGACTGACTTACATGGCAAACAATTCTCTTGTCGTCTTAGACAGCGGTGATCATTCAATAAAAATATATAGCTCCACCTGAAAGGGTTTAGATGCTTACTGCTACAGGTTCAAACTGCTTTTTGCCATAAAGCAAGTGAAGTTCTTGTGTTTGTAGGCATGCAGGGAGGAGGTATTTTCTGGGCTTTAAGTGAAATTGCCCTCTCTGACCAGCATGCTGTGCTTCCTGCAAAGCATACATCGAATCTCTTTGCCTATGCACAGGAGACAACCTGGGTGTTGCAGGCTGTAGTCAACAGTGAATCAACCAAACAATTTTACATTTTAAAACTATTCCATACCTTGACAACCAAATGTTTTTGGTACTTTTTGACAAGCAATAACGATGACATTTGGAATGGAGTAATAGAAGAATGACATCTGGGAGAGAAAGTGATGGATTGTTTGTTTACTGTTCCCAGCACATAGTTTTCATTGTGCTTTGTAAAGCATAGCTGCACTCGTTAAAGTGACAGAGTGGTCTGTTTCCAGGATTTCTGCACCAGAAAGGAGACTGGCTTGATGAAATGACAGGAAAAATGGAAGCTTCAGTTCAAGGTCATCTGAATCCAGCTAAGATCATTGCGATGGAGGAGCTACCACTGATTAGTGAGTTATATGAAGTGAATTGATGCTCGAAGCCTATTTCTTTCCATACTGGGGAAAGACGCTTCTGGGCACACTCTTCTCTGTACTAGTTTATTCCCACCTTTATTGGGGTTGTACTTGAGCACTCAGTCTTCCTGTACAATGCACAAGTCTGTGTCTTCATCTAGCGATAATTTGGTGTGTGGTTATCAGCATGGGCAGCTTTCCCTAAAAGCCCCTTGGAGGATTTGTGTTTAGATCACAAATACTTCTGCATATATAAAATTGAGTTGGCTGTGCTGCTAACACAGCTATGCTTGGGAGGTTTCCAATACTACCTGCCCTGAGAAAGGGGTCATAAGCCTCATTTTTTTCCTAGCTTCCAAATGAGGTTTTGTTGACTGTGAATACACAGCAGGTTTACTCCAGTTTATATTTCCTTGCTAGTTTAACTGTGGACACGAGTTCCGTTGCCTTATTGCACAGTGGAAATTAAGGTATATCTGAAAAAATTTGAGAAGGATTTAACACCCCCAATAGAAGTCACTGCTGCATTTTTAGGCATTTACCATCTCCTAAAATGATCATTTAGGCAGTTCAGCATTAAAAGGAAGTTAGATATAAATGTAAATGCTCCCCAATGTAGGTTAAGCAGGTAGGTTAAAATGGCATAAAACTTTTGGGGTAATTTCTTTTATTTAGTCAATGAAATCATGAATATTAACTAACAATTTGAAATTCACAGGTGATCTTTCTATCAGTAATTTTTTAATCTGGCTTTTGCTCTGACTTTAGGGTATTTAATAACTGCATGTATTGCTGCACCAGTGATTTACCAACTACTTTAAATTGGAGCTGTGGTTTAGCCCTCTAATTCAGACAATGTATTAACCTGTCTTATGTTAACATTTATATAAACAATCCAAATTATTAAATGCAGCTATTTGTAAAGGTTAATTGAACAGTGACCTGCCAATAAAGTGTGATTTGCTTACTCCTATATTGAATAATTTAGTGAAAACTCCTCATATCTTTTTATCATGGGCTTCTCTGTTACAATCCAGTTTCTCTATTGCGGTTGCCATGTAGATGGTTTCTTTTTTTATTTGGAGATACCATGCTAAAGTTGTTGTAGGGTAATTTTTTGCTTTTGAAAAATAGATGGACCTGCACATTTGGTCTTTTCCAGCCTTCTCTACTGCCAGGCAACACGGTAAGTGCCTTTGGTGGGACCAGAAATACTCCTTGGCTATGACGGCCCTGAGCGGGAACCCTCTTGAGGGGTCAGGAAGGAAATATGCTCAGAGAAGCATCCCCCCTGGCTTATATATTCCTTTCTAGATGCCAAGGAGAAATAGGTCTTTGAAGGATATAAAAACACTTCCTTTGGGGAACCGTTGTGTTTCAAAATGCGTGGAATACCATGGATGCTGTATTCAGACGTAATTAACAGTTTATTGCAATAGCACGTGTGGGACCCTTCCTCTGAACCACGGGCTGTGAGATTTCATCTCTTTAAACCTTTGTGTGCACCAAGAGGTTTGTGAGCAAAATAAACTTTGTGCCTTAATTCTACCTTGTTTGCCCTATGCCATCTCCTGCAGTCTCTGCTTTACCTACCGACTGAAAGCAAATGTAGTCTTTCTCTGTGAATGATGCAGCTGTTTTCCTTTGGCTATAAAGCTTGGTGCTTAGCGTTGTACAACGCTGCATCAAAGAAACCATTGCATTCTCTCGTAATAAATTTGACGCAGGTGCCTAAATAGAGAAGGCATAAAGAACTGTATAAAACCACTAATTAAAAATTCTGAATTCTTCAGTGTGTAAGGGAAAATGCAGCAGTAAACATGAAATCTTTCTTTTGTCACACAAAAGAATTTAAAAGACAATGGGAGACAGAGATCCACCAATATGCTGATAACAAACTAAACAGCCTTTGACATTTTTACGTACTCTTGCCTCTCCCTTTATGCATATATGCACATTTCTCCTATAGCTACTGTAGATACCCGTTGCCTTCAGGGTGATACCTCAATGCCATCTGCTTTTCAGAGGCCCAGGGGACGTGTGCTGCTCCTATCCATCTGCGAATCTGTTGCAATTTAGTCACAGATTTCAAAAGAACAGAAACTTTGGTTCTGAGAGTGGGATGGCGAAGGGTAAGGGGCACGTGTCACTAGGTAGGTGATGCTTTTGGGGTCAGATGGGATGTGCTCACAATGGGGATAGCTAGATGTGTGCCTGCCCTTGGAAAAGAGCGGTGGCCGTTTCATCTAGAATATCACATGGGACTGTGTCTAGTCGCTTCAGTTATAATTAGCATTGCGTTTATTTAAAAAAATAGACCCTAAACTAAGCTTTGCATAATGCTCTGTACCTCATGCTTTAACAATTTGGATTAAAACTGAACAAATATAATGGACAGTATTCCCCTAATGTCATCTCTTCAGCCCCTACTGTAGATTGGTATATCTGTTGTGCTCACGCACACCCCGCAATTCCTATTTGGTTTATTTTTAAGCACTGATCTCAGGTTGCTATCGTTGTATATAAATATACCAGGGTATGTTTACAGTGTTTAGGGATAAGGGAGGCAGGGGAGTTTCAGAAATGTGTATCAAAATTGTGCCCTGTAACATACCTATTTTTTGTTTTGCTTGTGAACAAGGTAATTTTAGATGAAGAATATTATAAATGTTTCATAATGGTGAATAAAAAGAAGAAAGAAACATGGGGGGGGGGGGGTAAAATTTACTTAATTTTGGCCATTGTATGTTAGACCATCTGTCCGTTCCCTCCAGCCACATTGCTGTGCACATCAGTTTGATGTTTATATTTTCACAAAGCGTGGAGGTAAGGTCACCATAGCATTTTTTTAACATGGAGTGATTTCAGGTGAAGAAGGTACATCCTGTAATGTCCAGCCCCCAAACCACTAAGACTTTAGAGAGCCGGGTCCATCAAAATAATGGCCTTGAATACAGGAGACCTTTTCTTTCTGGAAGGGTTGACAGAGATAAAAAAGCAGCTTTTTTTCCCTGGGACCATGGGTTATGGTGCTGTTGCAGCCTGCACAGGAGGAATTTGCCTTCATTTTTTTCTCTTCAATGCTTGGTTGTTTTTTTTCCTGACTCTTCTCAGAGGCTTATCCTTATAGTTTACAAGTCACCTGTGAGCCACAGCTTGCATCCACAGGAGCGTAATATAACTAAAGCAAAAATATACAGATTTTGCAAAATGAGTTCTAAACCTCATACTTCATTTAGACATCTCAGGAGAAGTGACAGATCATTCAGAAAGCAGCAAGTGCCTGAGGTCTAGCCCCTGTGTAGCCAGTTTAAATTTATTGAGCATAGAATCATAGAATCATTTAAATTGGAAAAAACCTTTAAGATCATCGAGTCCTATCGTAAACCCAACACTGCCAAGTCCACCACTAAACCACATTCCTTAGCACCATTTTCTCCCCTCTTTACCTTCAGTTCCCCTGTAAGTACACCAGAAACCTCTGTATAGAATCCACTGTCCTACTCTACAAAAGTACAGTGGGAAATGACCCGTAAGACATTGCCTTTTGTAACCTTCTTGTCAGGTCTATTGTGCAATTTCTTGATCAGCCCTGTCCAGCCCCAGCCCCGGCGATTGCTGTTTGAGTTGCCAGCTCGTTCTGCCAGCAGGCTCTCTGGGTTTGGCCAGCCGTTTCCAAAAGTGCTTCCATCTGATCGGAGGATCTTCCAGGTGGAGGGTATAGCCCTCAGCAATAGGGGGGCTTTCTCCTGACCTTGCCTACTTGTTTTAACTTGATGTGAAGGCTGCAGAGCCAGCAGGATGGCACAAACGAGGCTCTGGAAATAAAGTAGAGATTACCATCTGAAATAGGTATGCACAGAGTTCAAAATTGCCAGAAGAATTCCAAATCTGTCCTGTCACATATGCAGTCACTGACTGTAAAGGGGAAAAGGCCAGGCAGACCTGAAATAAGGTATTGGTCCACCTCTCCATGCAATGCCCAGCCATCACTGGGCAGAAGGTTGACTCAGCCCCACTGGAGATGAGCTGAGAACACGCCCCGCCTGCTTGATTTCTCTTCAGCAAACCCTTCACGCTACTGAATGTGATGGGGAATTGTTATCATTAACTGCTTATAAAACCCTCAAATGTACAGAACATGTAAATCTTTAAACTTGAAATACATTAAACCAAAGACCCACCCAGGATTTTTCTCTTTGCCATGTACTGCTGCGGGTCATACATCAGTCCGGGGGGAGGAATGCTTTCCAGTTCTGTGTTTCTCCATCAAAGCAGGCATTGACCATGCCTCCGTTCCACATTATGTTTTTGACTTCATTATTTCAACTAGAGTGCTTCCTTAGTATAACCTGTCTGATTCTCCTGCACAGCTTCAAAGCTATCTAATACCAGAGAGGTTCTCAGTGGGCAGATGATGCGTTGCAC